CGTCTGTCCTTCTCAAACCAAGAGCTTCAAGAACGTGGTTGGGAAGTCGAAAGGTCCGGCAAAGTTTTTAATTTTACTGCAGTTACTCAGGCAAAATTTTTTTTATTCATCGAAGGCGGTGAGGCAATACTTAATCGAACAAGAAACAAGCGCAAGCGAATTCGAACCAATTTTAGCCGCTAGCCGGACTCAAATTTCGATGTTACTTGTTCCGCGTGGGCCCCGAGATGTTCATCTCAAAGCGCATGTTCAAAAGGATCAATTACCAGTGAAATACTCTCGCATTACACACGAAGTAAACAAAGTGGCTTCCTTCGATACAAAGTTTAGCACCGTTTTCTAAGAAAACGGAACAACTAAACTCCGAGAAATCGAGAATATGGATTCATATTATCGTAAACAAGCTAACTAGTTACTAAAAAGTGAGGATTTTTTTCCAGCCACAACTCAGGTCTCATACCTTAAAATAACCTTTAAAATAATAAAGATATGCAGTTAGATATTAATTGGTGGCTGGTCTTTCTCTAACGGGATTACTCTAATACAACTTCATCCCAATGCCTTCAAAGATATTCTCTTTACCACGGACGCGTCACTTCACAGGCTCCTCTTTTTGTTGCATTTTTAATTTCACAAACATACTTTCAAATCAAAATAAACTAGGACATTTCTATGATATTCTTAAACTAGTTTTGTAACATATTTGACCCATTCATTAGGCAGGGCCAACTCTAACCCTTAAACTCAGCAGTTTATTCTGCATATCCCCCTCCTCTACTAGCACCGACCTTGAATCTAACTTTTTCAAACCCCTCCCCCAACCACCCGTCCCAGCCCCTGAAATCACGCCACCCCACTTTACTTTGCCTATCTTTGACCAAATTATTTGAATAAGATAAAGCTATAAGATATAAAATTTAAAAGTGGAATATGTCTTTTAACACGGCAAAAAATATGAAGCAATAGTAGTGTGGTGCGTCATAATACGCTAAAAAAATGTTTGGTCGGTTATCGTAATCAAGCTAAAATAGTTTAATAAACATTTTCCACCGAAATAATCACCAGAATAATTATACCTTTGTTTAACAATTTTTCACCGAAGGAGAAGATGATTATCAGTGGAATATTATTTACCAAGCCGCGTGTACTTCGAGCGGCGAGGTTAATATTCGAATAAATGTTCCAGTATGAACTTAGACTTGAATATCAAAGACGAAGTTCTGGATTAAAAAAAGTTTCAGTATTACTTCCGCGATGGCAGACTTTGTGAACCCTCATAATCAACACTCGAGCAATGATTGTCGTCTCATAATCAATGGTCGCTCGACCAATCACACCACGCGATACCAATAATACTAGGACACCTTCAAATACCTCCCAAACAGTTCAATGGCTTTGCAATATTCACAGCAATAATTACTTTTGCCATTTCTTTTTTGATAACTTATAAATTCCAAATCCATCCTTATGACCAAATTCTCCGTCAACATCAATAGAGGCTTTGCACCATTACGTGATGGCAGCCATGACAGGAGGCAGGAACAATTAAACTTGGTTGAATCGTCTGATTTACATGAGAAAGAATTCAGTTTAACAGGGGAAGAAGACTATTGTTGTCCCTCCTATCATGGCTGTCATCACGTAATCGTGCAAAGCCTCTATAGTATGCTTGGGAAAAAAATTAAGAAAATATTGAAAAATTAAACCAAATGTTTTCTTTACCTTTAAATTGAGAAATGACGGCACAGAGATACATATGTACAAAATAGCTTTAATAATACAAAATAGCTAATAATTTTAGTTGAATTCGTTTGTTTGCGGAGGGAGAAACATGTACAACTGGCAAAAATTAGGAAGAATATTTAAATGTATGTTCCTTTCCGCTCTAAAAATGGTGTCGCCATGTCTTTCGCGAAAGCACAATTGTCTATCCATTTGTGTGTGTGTGTGTGTGTGTGTGTGTGTGTGTGTGTGTGTGTGTGTGTGT